ATGATGTTAAATTGCATTGATTTTTTTTTATGGACAGGAGTTTACGATATACTCTTGTAGTTTATAAGACCTGAATATTATCTTACCGGTGAAAATATAATTTATCGACGAATCAATTCAGATATAGGATAACAGGCCTTGGATTTTGGTAAGAAATTCATTCACCCATTTGGCTAAATAGAGTCTTGGCATTTTAACTGATGTCTGTTCGTGATGAAAGTCAGTCAGCCGTAACTTAGGACCAGGCACATATATACATCGGTCCAAGTTGCCATACCCCATTAGTACAACAAGATGAACGCCGGATTCATAGAAGTGGTTAATTCAGTGTTGGTAATGTATGAAAGAAAGATTTCATATAAGGAGATAGTACAGGAATAAAGAATTAGCTTGTAGAAAGAAAGATATGAAGCGATTTTAATCTCTTAGTTTAAAGGAAAACATACCACCACGTCAAGGTAGCAACAACGGTCGGGGTTCGTGATGAAAACCATAAATTTAAATCTTAACCCTTACCATCAACTGTAAATCATTATCCTTATTCTTTACACTGCTTTGTAACCGTCATTTCGCCTTAGTGAGTAGGTAAACATTCTCAAGATCAATTTATCATGGTTCAAAAGTAGGCCATAAATTATAGTCTCACCATCTTACCTTATATGTTTTTAGTGTTTAAGAAAGAATTTAACATAAGCAATAAAAATTTGTCTCATTAATATCTACTATAACGTAAATTTACGTAACCCGATTACACAATGATCGGACATGCCTATCATGACAACTGAGTTGAGATATATTAGTTGGAACTATTTTCTTTTAGGTTTGTACAATAGCAACCAGGTCGGTTGGATAGTTGTAAGGTTGCAAGAAAAAGATTTAGGATTAGAGAACAAAGTTGTACTGATGATTTTTTAGATTCAAAATTATCTTGTACTTTGTTATTCAATAAATTCATTCTTTCATCCTGAATAATATTATTTAAAAAGTTCCTACCATAACTCTGCCATTTGTGTTAATGATTACTTTTGATTATGTTAGTATGGTATAACAACTTGAACTGATTTACATATCTCCCGGGTTCTACATTGCTTATGACTGAATGCTTGATCAACATATTAGAATACTAGTTTTAAAAACATTTGGATATCTACAAAAACTAAGTTATCCAAACTCCATCAATGATAATGTTGCGAAAAGTATTTCTACACTTATGCGATATTTTACTAATATTAATATTAAGGTAAAATATTATCTATATCTGTGATTTATAGTACAGTGATTGGTGTTATAAAAAACAATGCTTTATACATATCATTGTAGTGAACGAACACTCACGTGAAGAAAACCAATTTAGTGTTTAATGTACAATTATATAATGGTTTAGTAAAATGTGAAAATCATATACCAAACATATTATTCACACATCCTTTTTGAATTGTCTCTTACATGTGTCATTGTCCCTTCGTTCCTGTTGGCATCTTGATTGTTTTCAATTTCCATCTCTCCTTACTTCAATTCAAGTCTTCTGAACCTTCTTCCCGGCAGACATTTTGTGGTGTGTGCTACTGATATCAACAGATATTAGTAGTATGTATCATCACAGAAAGTAAAATGTCTGATGGCAGAAGGTTAAGAAGATTGAAAAAAGAGGATGAAAATGGAGAATATTCGGTGTGGAAATGAAGGAACAATCAGGTTTAAGACAATTGATTAAAATTTTGCAAATGAACTCATTAGTGTATGGTTCTCAGATTTTACTAAGAGATTCTATATTCTCTTTCACCACAATCCCACTTCCGACTAGTGTTATATGCCACTTATATCTGTTAACATAAGTAGCATATATCACATTAAATTTGGCTTTATGTTATCAACTACAAATATCGATCAGTAAAGATAATTATGATTTTTTTATTAAATTTAAGTTAGATTACTTACTCGTGTTACTCCTAATGGAGCATAGGCTGTCGACCAGCATTCTCCAACCCACTCTGTCCTGAGCCTTTTCTAGTTCCATCCAGTTCTTGTTCACTTTTCTCATGTCTGTCTCTATTTCCCTGCGTAATGTGTTCTTTGGAGTTCCTCTTTTCCTTTAGCCTCGAGGATTTCATGTGAGGACTTGTTTTGTGACCCAGCTGGGTGCTTTCCTCAATATGTATCCTATCCACTTCCAGAGCTTCTTTCTGGTTTCTTCCTCCGCTGAGATCAAGTTTGTTCTCTCTCACAATAGGTTGTTGCTAATAGTGTCTGGATGATGGCTTTCGTAGTTCTCCAGGTTTCCGCTCCATACAATAGAACTGTCTTGACATTTGTATTGAAAATCCTGACCCTGGTGTTGGTTGAAAATTGTTTTGAGTTCCAGATGTTCTTCAGTTGTAAATACGCTACTCTGGTTAAGTTAGATAATTAATACAAAAATATATATTATCGGCTTATACAAAATTAGTGTAATAGGAAAATAATCATCTTGAATACATTGTATTTTCTAGAAATCTCTGAGTAGACCATCTATTTTGTATCATAAAGAAAATATTTTCGAAATGATAGAAAACAAAAACTGATATGATCTTGATAATGACTTATTGATTTCAAGAAATATGATGTAATCATTGTATTACACCTATACTATACTATGCTATATATAGTAACCGTCATCTATCTATCTATCTATCTATCTATATATATATCTATCTATCTATCTATCTATCTATCTATCTATCTATCTATCTATATATATATATATATATATATATATATATATATATATATATATATATATATTAAGGAAATGTAAATCAATAAACTTCAAGGTCATATTAACTAGTAACTAACCAATGAATATTGATTAAGTGACATTTTAAATTTTAAATTTCAATTATTTTTAAAAAAGAATACAGTGATTACATATTACAAATAATAATTTATATAAAACTTATTAATTCACGTTAATAAACAAGTACTAAACAGTTGCTTCGTTCTAATATGATACTCCTTAGTAATGAGCATTTCATATTCATCTTGTGTTTTTAAGTTTTTCATGATAGTCTACATTTAATTGATTCATGAATTCAACTACTAAAATTATTACAATCTCTATAAAACCCACTTTCTGATTAGTTTAATTCTGTTTGTTGATATTAAGTAATTTAAATTAAATCAAAGGAAAAAAAAGATTAATCGGTGAGACTATAATTTAGGGACTACTTTTGAACGATGATAAAGTGGACTTGAGAGTGGACACTTACTGATAAGGCCTAAATGAGGGTTATAAAGAAGTTTGAACAATAAGGTTATGATTTACAGTTGATGGTAAGGGTTAAGGTTTAAATTTATGGTTTTCATCACGAACTAACATCAATTAAAATACCAAGACTCTATTTAGCCAAATGGATGAATGAATTTCGCGCCAAAATTTAAGACCTGTTATCCTAAATCTGAATTGATTTGTCCATAAATTATAGTCTTGCCAATTAATCTTATATGTTATAATTTTACTGGTTGTTATGTACTTCGTTGACAAGATGTTTACTAGAGATTTTCGAAAACCTGAGGTTTTGTAAACACAAAAAAATATAAAATTCATATCCGGTCTTCTAAATGATATTTTAATTTAATATTGCACTAAATGATTGTCATGATGCATTTACAAATGAGATTTCAGCTTACTTTAAATCTTGATTTAAGTTTCATTAATTTTAATAGTTGAAATCATGAGTTAATTAAAGTTAGACCACCATGGAAAACCTGGAAGCACTGGACGGCTGTTTCGTCCATTGTGATAATAAATTCATTTCTATAAATTTTGTAAATTGCAGATTGACGTGTGACTAGCTCAATAAGTTAACTTAGCTTTATTATGGTTGGAAACGTGGACTGTTCAGATCCAACTAAATGACATCAAGATAGTAATGTTGTAAAGATCTTAGTTTTATTCCAAGTAAGGTTTTTGTGTGTGCTACTGATGTCGGCAGATGCAAGTAGTATGTATCATCAATAGAAGGTGTAATGTCTGGTGGCTGAAGGTTAAGAATATCGTAGAAAAGAGAATGAGAACAGAGAATGATTGGTCTAGAAACGAAAGAACAATGAAGTATGAAACGATTGATTGATATTTTACAAATGAAGTCTTTATTGTATGGTTCTCAAGTTTTGCCAAGTGATTCTGTAATTTTGTAGTCAAATACATTTGATTTTCCCCACTTGTGTTCTCGTTTATTACAAGGTTATTTATTCTTACTGCTAAAAAGCTTCAAGCTAAGACGAATCAACTGTCCAGTGTTTTAAACTTTTAAACAGTTTTTCAGATGATTTCAGTCAGTCAAGAAAATTATCTACAAAATGAATAACTTATGCAAGTCTTTCAAATAAACTATTGTAGTGAACGAGAACACAAGTGGGGAAAATCAAATGCATTTGAATACAAAATTACACAGCATCTTAGTGACATCTGAGAACAGTACAGTAAATAATTCATTTGAAAAATATCAGTCAATCGTCTCACACTTCATTGTTCCTTCGTTTTCACACTAATCATTCTCTATTCTCATTCTCTTTTCTTCGATTTTCGCTACCTTCCGTTTCCAGGTATTTCACCTACTAGTGATAATACATATTACTTATATCTATTGACATCAGTAGCACACACCACTTTACATGATTCCATACTATATAAACAGAGAACAATTCGATTAGCAGTATATATGACAGTATAACATTTCAGTACAACTTTCGATTGATGATACATACTACTTATATCTGCTATGATCAGTAGTACACACTACACTATAATGATCAAATAATAATTTTATACAAATATTCATCAATATTAAAAAGAATAGTTTGATAGAAAGTGGATGCCAAATATAGAAATGATATTACATATGATAATTTTAATATGAAAAAATCTATATGGATCAAGCGATTACTTTTGCATATAGTCAAATGGAATTTTCTCTATAACTATATACTGATCAGTGTATTTACTATTCTTTTGTTTTAAGGTTTCACACCAGCTAGAAATATTAGTTGTGCACAATGTGAAATGAAATTAGAAGTGGATAAATCAAAAAGTTTTGTAGAAACTGATATGTATCGTCGTAGATGTTTAGATGAACCAGAGCTATTCTTTAAACCATGGTGAGTTATCTTTATTTCTTTTATAAAACAATGATAACAAGAAACTGATATATAGAAATGATATTATTTATTTGGTATTGTTTTGCTTGAAACTTCTGATTGAGGTTTAAAACTGCGATTGATCAGTCTCTTATAGAAATATGTGCATACTGTGAGTATTGTCTCAATATTGCATTAATTCATAAGCTTTATATGCAAAGATGGATAGTGGCTAGCAGTAGAATCCAGGATGCGCGTTTCGTTCTATTTGGGACTCGTCAGCTGGATGCATCTGCATCCCACAGTTGATGTTCACTCCGAGACTCGAACCCAGAACATCAACTGTGGGATGCAAGTACATCCAGCCGACGAGTCCCAAATAGGACGAAACGTGCGTCCTGAATTCCACTGCTGGCTACTACCCATCTTTGAAATGACATTATGTTTTAGTGTTTTATACTCCATTGAAATGTATTAATTATTCATAATTTATGACTAAACTGGTTTGTTTAAAAGTTTAGTTTAATGAAAAAAATAATAACTTACCAATTTATGTGTTGTGTATACAAGCTGAATGCAAAAGTATAAAGATTTACCCAGGTATTGCTTTTACACTATGTCATTTTCTATAACTGGTGTACAAATCTCGGTTTTCCTAATAATTAAACATATTTTGTTTACAATTTGGAAGGTATTTTATACAGAACTCTATACATATTGGATGATATTTTTGAATCTCATATTAAAAATCTAGAGATTTCGATGATTACTGATATTTCGTTGCTTGTAAAATAGTTTGACAAGAAAATCTAAAAACTGTATCAAACATTATAGTTTAGGTCATGAACCAACCTTTGTTAGATCAACACTAAAAAGTAAAAAGCACCGTTCACTGAGTCCAGGTATTTCAGCTCCTCCAACTCCCCGTTCATTGGTTTATACTTATAATTTTATTGAATTCATAATACCACCTAACTTCGAGTGCTGTAGGTAAATAACTACTACATTCCAAATATGGTTTACATGTGGGTCACAGCTTCTTGCTAAGTCTCCAATAATTAACTCGTGAAACTATTGAATAATGGATAAGTGATGTACTTGATGGGTCTACAGTATGAGTCCAATACAACTGTTCAGTGCTTTTTGGTTTTCAATGCTTTTCTATCTAAGAACACTCAGTGATACTACCTATAAAATGACTCCGTAATTTGAAATTAACGCGCTTTCCACGAAACCTGATACCCCTGAATTCGAATCACACTATGATCATATATGTATATCAGTGAAAGGTCTAGAACTAACTATGTACTGCATCTAAATACCCACTGGTTTTGAGCAGAATATCAGTTGGATTCAATTTTTGTAATCTACAAGATAAAACAATTCTTAATCAGTTAATTTTCAGTAGTCTGTAGGTTATCCGTATTATCAGTTAGAAAAAAAAACATTGATTTCATCATCATTACAACATGACTACTTATTTAATTAATTACTGTTTTTATTCTTTTCTCGACATTTTCCTACCAGTATTGTGAATGCTAAAAATACACCACGTGGATGTGCTAAACTTACCACCTACTTAAAAGAGCCCGTTGCTAAAGGTCGAATTAAAGGTAAGTACTAAAAAATTTTATTTAAAAGTTATTCCCTGTATAATTTTCATCATAATTGTAATTATATTATTTCATAGTATGCAGAAATGAAAACTCAGAAGCTCAACCGATTAGTTTTTCTTACGAATTGTTTCAATTAAGATTTATGTCACAAATTGTAGTATATTTGATATACAACTCGAATGTACATATGACATCATAGACTAATCTATTGCGTTTCTGAATATTGAAAACTCTTGCTGTTACATCATCTACTTGAGTGAAAAGTAATGGATTTGAGTCTTAGTGTTAATATTACTGAGATGTAGGCTTATCCAAATGAAAATTTTCAACTATGACATTAATAATATGAGTTTTTGACTTCACTCCTAGCCATATATACTAGATATATTGATACTTACAAATCCTATGCATTAATGTAACTAGAGAAATAATCCGACCAAGAAAATTATGACAAAAATCCCAACTGAATCAATATGAGTTTAATTAAAGAAAATAAATAGTAACATTGTGATGGTTCATTATAATCTCAATTATTTAATTATGTAGTGCCTAATTCATAAAGTTTAATATGATTTTCATTGCATATTTTAAGTAATGTTTTGTTCTTACCCATCACCATTCACTCTAAACCCCAATGAATTACTCCAGACAGGCATTGACTTATTCAATGACTAGAAAGATATTAAATATAGGATTGTTTAACACAGATTATATATTTTAGTTAACTTTAGTGTATATCTTACATAACGGAAGTATAACAATATCCGAGTATATCAATAGTAAACAAAGAAGGATTTTAAACCTTAATCTTTTCTCTAATAAATATATCTTATGTAAGCCAAGATGGATAGTGGCTAGCAGTGGAATCCAGGAATATTGAAGGAAACAATACCAAGTGAATTACATCTTATGTGATTTATAAAAATTTATAACCATTGTAATATGATGATTTCGGCAATAGCATTAGTGATCAAGTTCAAGTATAAACAATTGTAAATTGAATCAAAAATGATATACTAATCTCCCAGATTTAATGACCAAATACATTAACATTCATTAGCTCACACAGAATACTTATCTTCAAGCCTTAATCAAAACAGGGAAAAACCTAGTCAATGATTCTTTTATATCCTGACTCCAAAATCTAGCTTAATTCTATACATAAACCACAGTCAGACTATTATTGATCAGTTCATGATTTTAATTTATTAATGCGCCAAACGGAATTTTATAAGTACGAAAAGATTAAAATCTCAAACTAATTATTTAATACATCCACATTAAAAGTGTAAATACTGATCTCCTTTAAGAATGACTTCCATAGTTTGTCATTCTCATTTATTCTTTCCAGTTTAAAAATATACTTGCTAACAACAATAAAAATATCAGCTCTTCTACTGATTATGAATATTCTATCCGATTTCATTTAATACATAAGTGAAAATGTAATTCTACCAAGATTACTTATCGGACTAACATTTAGATTTAGTGGGAGGGATGTTAGGAAGAATGCTTTAAATCAAATATAACAATCAGCTAATTGGTAAATTACTTCAAAATGTTCCTTAGGTCTTAGTGAGAATTATGATTGATGAAGTTCAGACAAATTTTCAACAATGGTATCCCATTACTGATGTATTATATTACGAATTGAACATTAAACGCCAACTCAGTGGTCTTAATAGTTCATCGTTTTTCGTGAGACTTTTAGGTTCTAGATTCGATCTCCGGTACTTCAGAGGTTTTCTATTGAGAAGTGGGATATTAGAACAGAACGGTTGTCCACTGCTCCCGGGTATTCATTAGTACCACAACTAAGATCAACCTGTTATGTATACTACTACAAAACTCCAACTCATTAAAAATTACTACTTGTAAGTAGTATAACTGGTGTAACGGAATTCTCAGGCTCAAATTGGAAGTCATCTACTTCGATGTGGAAACAATTTAACTACCTATACTCATGTGTTTAAACAATTTTCGATTGCAAATGACCGACAGAATATAGTTCAATATTTTCCCTTAGTTTTCGCATTTCATTTGTTAATAATCTTTGACCTTAAAAATCAATTGATCAATCATAATAATACCAATACTGTCATTATTATTATAGAAGTCACATTGATGAAACGTTTCTGTGCTACCGAAGGTGCTGAGCCAGAAGAGATTAAATGTGTTGATCGTCCTTCCGAAGGCGGCAATTCAGAATTATGTATTTGTGGTACGGATAATTGTAATTCTGCTCCACAGTTATTGAAATCGTCATTATCATCACCTATTTTTTCTCTAACAATATCAACCATTTACATGATATTTATGAAAATCAACTAATTAATATCATTATTAGCCAACTTTGTAAGTAGTATATACATATTGTTGTGAAACAGAGATATTTTTAGTCAGATGTGTTAACCGATGGGGCGAAAAGCATCACATTAGTTCACCATGTAAATGTGTGAAAACACATGCAGACGTACACAAACACCTATATAAGTAAACGCCTACAAAATTGTGCATTTTCCTAATTGGTAGCCGTAACTCATTTGTCATTCTATTCGCCTTTTTAAACCTACATACAATTAGGATGTTTATTACTATTATTATTGTCAATAATATTGTCTGTTGTGATGATTGCTTTTTGTTGTGTTGTCCATTAGTATCACATACATATAAGTACAATTTAGTTTTTACATAAATTCTACTGTTGTCATTATTAATTATAAATGTACAACAGCATTATATAATATATATATAGTAATATTTACCATATATTCTTTATCAGTAATGTTTGTTGACTTTTAGTAGATGGTGTTTTTCAAGTACTTTTAGGTATATTTGAAGGCGAGCTTGATATTAGATTGATAAAACATCATTTAGATGATTCTCACAATATAATGCATAGGGGTACATATTGTAACGTCTATTCACTACCTGATCAGCAGAATCCAACCAATTCTTAAAAGACTAAACAAATATGAAATCCGCCATCGCTCAGTTATAAATATCTCAGGAGTGTAAGAGACTAGTCCTAGTATAAATAGTTTAGTGAAAACGTCGCAGGATGTAAAACAGTATATCACTTGAATACCACAGGGACTATTAGTTCCTTCCAGTTTCCAGGCACATCCTGAAAACAAGGTCAAGTAGGGTTTCCTACTGACTACCTCCAACTACCTAACACAAAAACCATTTCCTAACCAAAGATAAAAGGTTTCTTCTCTATTCTTGAGTTTCATTATAATCATTGGCTTTATTCAATATCATATTTTTGATGCGAAACAGGATTTTCAGCACAAAGTATCTCAACAAGTTTATTTTCCTTATTTCTTGATCGATTCTGACGATAAATATTGAGCGGTCATCAGTTAGATGTTAGCAGTTCAGTAATCGATATCTGAATAGTGTTCATTATTTTCAACGGATATTACCAGCCACCACGATGTCTCTGATTGTACTATTTTGTAACCTGTACAGTGAAAGATCGTAAATTTGTTATAAGCGCGCCTGAATAGGTCATGCACTTAATAGAAATAATGATGCATTAATACAAACAAAAGCAGATAACTTGTTGAAATATTCAGATGGCAGGAACAGGTGGCCCATACATTCAAGCAGGCTGACGCGGTAGGCGTTAATATTTATTAACCGCCAGTCTATCTAGTCATATTAAATACAATGTGTTCCATAATTCCCCTTGGACAACTCATAATAGTGGCTTACAAAAACTACCAACTCGTACATAATTTACCACTTTCTTTTCATGAATAAACATGAAATTTTTATTCATTAGGTTTGACCTGACATGATTTTAACAAATTATCAATTCTCGTTCGTCTAGTTGAAATATCTAAGATGCATATGATTTGGTGAACTTAATAAATAGGGTCTTCACGATTGAATGTTATCATTGCTCTATGTGTATTTATATTCACAGTACTATTTTTCGCCAGCTCGCACGTGCTAACTTGACGTCGAGGATGACTACTCCTCTTGTAACGACCTAATAGTTATAATGGCCAAAACATTTTTTCTTTAGATCCTACCATGCTAGGTAGATTCACCAAAGAACGGCTAAGATAGAGATAAGGGTGGAATACCGCTGCGACGTGACGGAAATAATGTGTTTTTCTCAGGCAACTAATACCTATAGCGATGCTGCCTCGACACAATGAAAGGGAGGGGTTAGAGAGGTCCTCACCAAAGAACAGCACGTCTCACTTTACCGATTTCTATCTCTGATGGTAAAGCTTTCAAAGCATGGAGTTAACATATCAAAAACTAGTCATAAAAATACTGTGTGTAACCAGGTTTAAGCAGATATTCCTTAGACTTCCGCTCCCAGGTAGCCAAGATGGCTACCAATTCAGTTTCCTTTCCAGGCACTTACGGTTAACTAACTGATTGAGTACTAGCATCCATGATTCTTTAAAAACCTTTATTTTGATGTGTTCTTTTTCAAAAATTCAATTCCATCTATCCACATTCTAAGGCCTTCCGTGACATACTTTAATCTAGTGATTTGAAAACAATCTGTAATCTTGACGTTAAAAGTGAGCTCCCATTTTATTCTAAAGCCTATTAATACGTAAACCTTCATCAATAAACATAACATCAGATTAGATCAGATGTTTAATAAGTTATTCATGAAAACGTATATTAATTAAAACAAACACCCCGATAATCCTTGGGATAGGAACATAAGAAGAAAAATTCATGATGAATTCAAAATATGCTGGAAAACCTTTAAGAAAAAAAACACTTCAGAGAAATAATATGTAACATTAATGTAATTTAATCAAAGCTATAAATAAGTCAATAGTTCTATCTTCAAAAATTATTCTGTCAATGTCATTCTCTACAAACACACACACACACAGAAGTCGTAAAATTATTATCACAAAAGAATTACAACCAACAACAAAAGTAGAACATACAAATACACTCTTCTCATCGTATCTAATTAATAAGTGAAACAAAACAAAGCCAGAGTACAACATCACAATACAAAATACAAATTACATTAGTTTCAGGATAAGGGGTGGGCAGGGGAAAAGCAAGCTGATGAATTCTCCTCAGTAGTAGTAAAAAGAGATCAACAAAATTCACCATTACTCACATTCATAATAATAAGTACTAGTATTACCATTTTGGTATATTTTAAGCAACACAAAACTTATTGCCGTTGTCCACAGTGAACAGAAAACAAAAAGAAAAAAAGAGAAGGAAGGGGGGAACAAGGCATAGAAGAAGAGAAAGGATGAATGAATCCCTATTGCTTATAGTTATGGTGATGATGTTTCGTTAACAAGGGTTGAGCTGGATATGCGTAAACGCAAAATAACACTACTTGATGTAATTCAAAGAATCAAAATAGGTTGCTTCTTTATTATTCATCTAAAACGATAGGATCATATTGAATTAATAAAGAAAGAAAGCAAATGAAACAAAAAGTAACAAACTGTGAAACCAATGTGATGATGATAAACTGAGAACAGTAACAAAGAAAATACAAACACCATGTGTGTGTGTTCATAACTGGGCCCCGTCTAACTATTTTCTTTTCATACATAAAATCTATACCTACCTTCATATGTAGTATGGTTTATATTGTTTGTGAATGGTAGTCATACACATACAAACACACACACATGATGCATCACACTAATATATAAGCCAGAAATTGTTGAAATATTTCAAGGAAGCACTAATCATAACACGTTTCAAAGGAATTAGCAAGAATAAATACCAGATTGAGATTGATGTAAATATAAATGGGTATTTAAAAAATTGTTCTCCAACAACAAGAGTACATAAGAAAAGAGTAAGGCATTCGACGAATTTCATGTCGCAAATACTAGGATAGTGTTTGCTTTGAATAAACAAAACCAAAGTAAGGGATCATACTAGACCAATAACCTAAGCATTAACCCATATCGATAGTGCTCATATTATCATCATTAATATCAATGTAGTAAACTGGATACTTCTTTATGAATATGACATAGATATTCTGTGTATGAAATCGAATTACCACTGCATCGATCCTCAACCATGAAACGTCGAAACCATAGTTCGCTTTTATCTCCAGGACGTACAACCAATAACTATAACAAACAGTACACCAAGAAAAATAGAGAACAGAGATATATATACCATTTAAAAGAAACAGAAAATTATACATTTGACATTTAATAATTCATCATACGATTTCGGTAGAGAGATACGATATAGTTAAATGAAATTGTACTGCCTAACCAATAACAATACAAAAGGTAACGATGGCTATTAGTTCTCACGTGAATTCCAAACGGCAATACCGCACAGTATTGTAGTAATACTGAATTTAGAGCAGAAAATTACTCCGAATCACAAAACACAATGTTTTGATTTAATAGTCCATATCATAGACTCAATTTAAACAACCGTTGAAAAATATATGTTTTATATTTTAACATATGACCCCCTCAGTATTGTCCATCCCCATGAAAATACATAAGACAGAACCCACAACTTTCAGGTTTAACAGAGTGTGTTTGACCATCTGAATACAAGGTTACCATTTAATAACACATATGTTTAACTTCAAATCAATTAGCAACATTTCTTCCTGATTTTCAATGGTTATGATTTAACTAAGGTCAGGTTTATGTATCGTAAAAATAACAAAATTTAAACATATTCACAAAACCCTCACATTCGCGCGTGAGATCGAAGAGCTTTGATTCAAGTTTAGTGTGCAGGATCGTGTATGGGCACTTTTGAGGAGTTTCATACTAGGATGAAATGGACTTCTAATACTTTCGATTGATGATCTCAATGAAAAAAGCCTTTTGTTGAACTATGCAGTAAAAATGATGTGATATGAAAGTAGACTAATATGAAACATGTTGAATACTTCTTGAATATAATGTCAATTATCAAAAACGTGTTTTTATAAACAATTTTACTATTTTCCCTTTATAAAAAAAATGAACTCCCTAATTAATACACTACAAATAACAGTCTTTTATTGTCATACAAATAGCTAAAGGAAAAAAAAGGCATCATTTAAGCTATTTTTTTAAAATGATTACCTCAGAGAATCATCATCTCATCAACCATTTGAAATATTTACAAACCAAAAAGACTTCATTTTAATATTTGCTATTCTTAGGTTCAAAATCATCTTTAGTATTATTAATATAATATAATTTAATAGGATACATCTTTATCAAGTTTATGTAGTTAAAAATTTAAAAACTCTATTCATTCGTTAAAAGGTTGTATGATCCTAATTCAAAGGCTTAAAATTAGATTAAGCGAAGTAGAAGGTTAGAATATGTGAATTCATATTGATCCAAAAGTTGAAGCTTTTTTTTAATCTAGAAAATCATCGACACTTAGAAACAAACATGATGGTTTCACATGTCAACTGATGTTTCAGTTAGTTAGTGAATATCTATCATACAAATAACTACCTATTAATATAGTCATTTTATTAACCAAATTAATAAATACACGCATATATTATTAGTATTTTAACACATAGATATCGGTACAAGAAGGCACCAAATACATATGCGCCACACAGATCTCATTTGATATGTGTGAGAGCTGTGATACTGCCAGGGTGCCCAAACCGAACAAGGTGGTTTTCTTAGGGGGCCACACCCCGAGCCTTTGACCTGAACGCCTGATCCACAAGGCAGTGGAGTATCGTGAGGAGATGCAGTCCCATGGTAGCCGGTGACCAACGATTGGTTCATACGCCATTTGTTGCTTCAGGATACTGGAGCCCATGTGCACCATTGGTTTGGGATCCGGTTATAGCGCCGGACATTCGCTTTTCGTCCTCACTTTCGTAAACAACACCCCGCCACGAGAAGGCAGTGAGTAGGACTTCCCTGGCAGGGGCTGTATACGCGTGGCCATGTGAGAGCATTTCGAGAGGGGAAGCGGACGCATATAAAATTGCTTGATATTTAATGAGGAAGTTAAAGTTCATATTAGAAAATCTGAGCCTCTAAAACATGAACACTTCATATTTTCCCATAGATTTCCATCGCCAGTAGTAGAGACTTTAAAATACAGAGCTAACTGTTAGGTCCCGATAAGCATAATGAATGGTAACTTTTGGTATCCATTTATGGACCAATGCTATGTGTATATTTTTATCGTATAATTGTTAAATAACTAAACTGTTCATATTCATAACCGTCTTATTATGAGCTTTGTTTTGACCTATGAACCATTATTATACGTTTTACGATTCTTCAGTTATACCCTATCTATTATTTACTATTTCCCACATTCACAGCCACATTTGGAAAAATTTTGTGCAAATGTTATTTTCTGTTTTATGGTACGATTTGGTCTGTCTGGTTGGTATATAAACCGAGTATGTTTGAAGTAAATGATTTATATTGCAGAGGCTGAGATTAGTGTTCTGGATTTAACTAGCTGGGTTAGGCACGAAACAGGGTCAATAAAGACTCTAGACTGCTCTCACAGGTTTTATGCGTCACTGGTCCGATCGATAAGTCACTGCTCTCTAATTGGCGGTATCGTTACGTTATACATTAGCAAGGTACACAGTCCACAAGATACAACACTAACACATTAAGAACTATTCACAAAAATGTTGTGTGACCAGTTTCAAGTAATTATCCTTCAGGTACTGAAGTCATGCTCCCGGGTTAATAAAATTACTGCGTATACAGTTTCTTTTCCAGAAAACCGAAAAATAAAAACCATCCATATATCTTAAAAACATTTAAGTTCACCTTATTTGTGACTAAAACATGAGAAATTAAGTTCAAAACGTAACAAGTGAAATTCAGGTAAAGAAAATTAAGAATGATATTTAATATTTACAAGATAAAGAAATAATATAATAAGTTCAGCTTCATCATTACGACTTCTTTACGCCATGTCATATAGTATTTTCAAATGTATAGACCACGCCTATCCTGTTACCTTTATAACCATATAATCTTCATCTACTCAATAATATTGTTGATTGACTGAATTCACGAACATCATCTGTCTATAACACTATGAAGAGACAGTTGATTAGACTGATTACCATATTGAAGAAATTTATAGATGATAAAAAGTAATGAATATCTTGAAAATGGAGAATATTAACTTGCATTAAGACTTAAAAATTAACATTATCATTGACTAGAGTTTGCATACTCAACTGGACAGAATATATACATTCACAATGAACGTCATTTATTTGTTCAAACAAGAATAAGACATACAGAAAGTTCCCACTTACCCGAGAATAATGCCAACGATTTTTACGAACTTTTTTCAGCAATGTACACAGATTACGTGAAATTTCGTTATCAAAATTACACAAGTCATAAATCTAAACAATAGGATTATAAAAACAGAATAACGTAATGTAAGCATAAATATTATATTACTTATAAATGAATAAGTAGTTTAAAACATTAGGATATTTAATAGGATTCTTAAACTCAATAGTAGTGAAAAGCTTCTCTAGGTGACCCAACATCAAAGGAGAATATACAAATGGTGCATTTAATGATTGATTTCCACATTTTACAAAGACACCGTGTGATTTTGCACAAAATAAGTTGGTTTGCCGTACCTGAATTTTCTTCCAGTACAATAGGTCTATATAAATGGGTCCATACTGCTAAGATCAATAATCAATGACTCTATGGACTGATGTTAGGTTTTATTTAGTCCAGACTTAGCATCATTTTAACCTACTTCTACACTACCAGACATTGTATGTCGACGTAGGCAGTAACTGCGCACACATGATAAGTTGTCATACACACCTCAGATAATGAAGATTAAAAGCGTTATTAGTGCTGTCTTGGAGCCAAGTCACCAATCAGAGTCCCAATTTTCATTTTTGCCTATTTCCACGTCTACTATGTCCTCTATAGCCTAGTGTCCCCAATTACATGCCTAACCAGTACCATTGACCTAAAGTCAATGAGGCTAAGTTCCGAACGGTCCACTATTCGCAAGCTTCTCTATGCTCTAACCTGAGTTCAAAAGTCAGCAAACAGCTTCTACTACATCTATATTTCAAACAGATATGGTTTATGTACAGACACACAGGACAGCATAACACCATAAAATTAAAAATAATAATGGTAATTAAACGGCCTAAACGTGGCTCTGAATAGAAGAACCTGTAAGTAATACACACTGGTAACAAATTAGAAATGGTAATTCGTATAACAGTAGTTAATGGGTTAACCAAAAGCTCATGATAAATGGAATACACAGACATAGTAATCTGATTGCTAAGTAATTATAAAACCGAATTATAGTTTATAATAATCCGAGAAACCAGTTCGAACTTAAACAATATTCGTTCTGTTATAACAACTAATCCCAGCACTGCCCACTCAAATGTTTCACAAAGCACGAGCGACGCTCCAAGAACACCTAAGATCAAAACCACGCATCGTACACACGTATCCCACTTTTATAGACTATGTTCCACGGTGACAGAGAAATAGAGAGTGGGTCTCTGCACTGTATACTTCCTCTTTGGTTGGCAGACGGACATCTCGCATGTGCTACAAGTGAGATTCCTAAATCGGTGCCAAGATTTTGTTAGACATAATTACCCCAAGGGAGGTGAAACTTCCAAGATAAATGAAATGGACAGAACATTCAATCACTTGACTCTCTATCAGGTTCAAGCGATAACTAACAACTGTGAAACAATATTTTATACTTAAAGTAAAGAAACGCATTCTACACATGCTTGTATTTCGTCAGTGTTTTACGAATGTAATCTCCATATCCTGAGTGAACCTTCTAGTAACAAATCACTCTCCGAGAAGTTAAATTAAGTGGAATTTCTAGGACATCTAATATAAAATGAAGTTAAAAAATGGGAGGTAGTGAGCCTATAAACTGGACATATTTTTCTAAGTAGGATTTTAAAATGCAAATAACCCTTGTTACACATAAAAATTTTTAAAAAATTTCTTCACTTGTAATATCTAATTTTGTCTCACTTTTTCTGATTCAAAATGTTCAGGATTTTGAACATTGAACACTGCTTGAATCCATTCTGACGATATATTTGGACCAATCCACATGATAAGATAAATTCCATTATCTAATAAATAAGCTGCATCCATTTGTAAACGATCATATGAACAGCGTATAGCAGCTGGAGGATAAGGTATATCACCTTCGAAATTCAGTGAAAGATCATGCTAAAATAAGTAATTTTTAAAAGAAAGAATGAGGTTGAAATTGAGATAATGCTCACTTACTAAAGATCACAGGGCAAAACATACTAATGCCATCGGGAAAACCGTTTGCCAATCTTAAACTCATTTTTATGATACAAAGATTAGAGATAATCAATTAACGAATTAAACAGATGGAATTTATAAGTCTGACTAGTTCCAAAGGTTCCAAGCCACTACTAATTCATAATTTAAGAAACTCTATATAAACATATACTTATAAATTTACGGAAAACTAAAAACGTTAAGCCAAACTTATGTGTTGTCCAATAGAGGTCTAAATGCAACTCATTCGCTAAGTACAGGTTTGTGTATCCACATTTGAGTTGTGCTGTTGGTGTGTGATAGTGCGAAGCCTGATGATACTACCCTGAGCACAACTCCCACCCCACCGAAAGCTGAAGCACGTGGAAAGAATTTCGAACATGGGACACCCTAACCAAACTCAAGCCATCGCTCCACTCTACACTGAAAAAACAAATTAATTAGCGTGTATAAGTGAAAACAAAACCATTATGAAATGGTCAACAAGTGATTCCGAATCGTATACACTTCACTAAACAATAACACTGGTCCACTAACATTAGCTACTAGTGCACAATGGGTAAAGATGAGCTCTGGGTGCGTGTGTGTGAATGTAGACTAAAATCGCCTGTCGACTATTGGAGTCCGATTAAAATATTCAGTTCACATAGTATTTCATAGCCATAAAAGCATAGATTCGTGTACATGGCTTCGAGCAACACCTTAAATGAAAGGGTTGGTAGTACTACCCGGTTGTCCAAACCAAAGTAAGTGAGGTGGAGTTGGAACCTGAGACGTAGTGGCTGGAAGCTAAGTCCCTTAATATATATATATATATATATATATATATATATATATATATATATATATAACGAGAAGTAATTATCAGAGTAAATTCTGATCAAATATACAATAACGTACAATAGGATATAAATGAGGATAAATATAACAATTGGATTGTTTAACGTCCATTTGATTGACCAAAAACATTTGCCAACAACGATCATCAATTGTGATACCGTCAGCTGGGTTAAAAATAAAAAAGGTATTAATAATAATAATAATAATAATAATAATAATAATAATAATAATACAAGTTTATGTATTCAACAGAATTAATGACTTTAAAAGTGACACGACTGCCACGAGACCTTAAGGCAGTGAGTTTGATTCCGTTTTGTAGTTCTGAGATGTTACACTGTGTAACATTTTCAAACTGAACTCAACGAGTCAGTCAGTCAGTCAGTCAGTAACAACGTGGAACTTCGTACGTACGTACATCAGTTCGAGTTGCCATACCACATTAGCACAGAGATTCAGTTATCGATTCAAATCCCATAGTGGTAGAGGTACTGAAAGTATAAGTAGAGATAGGGGACATTAAGGTTTGATGATGTTATTAAAGGAGTATAGTCCAGTGGAATAAATTGGGAAAGAAAATAAAGGACATGAAGAATTCAGAAGATTAGAGTTTGAGAGAACACAAAGAGCGGATGCACCTGCGCCATTGCAAACGATTTTGAGCCATGTCATTCAAGGTCTCTAACCATCGGTTGCTATCGTCTCGCGGTCCCCAACCAGGTAGTCTACACCTACCAACATGACTCAGTCCACTTGTCAGTGACTCAACGAGTTCTTTACGCAGTTGTTACATCTTACCTTCTAAAATATTACATATATAAATTATCGAATCCCAAGCTGTCAAGCACTTGTGGTTATGATGATGATAACTGAGACTAAAGAAAGTATAACATTTTCAGCATATTTACCTCACAGTTACAAGTCCTCTCACTTGTGAATTATCTCGAAATACAGACACTACCAAGTCTCAGGCAGTAGTAATAATAGTAATAGTAAGTCATACTTTACAGACTTGTCAATCGAATTTAAGACAGAAACTATGAGATTTTTGCTCGACCTTTAAAATGTGATCATGGATAGTTTGTATTTTTACTGAGTAAAGTAAGAAGTGTGTAAAAACCTATCAAATTGATATAAACATGATGGTGACTGAATAAGAACGACGAACTAAGGCAAGTTTTTTCTTCTTTCTTCTATGATAAGAAAATAATACAAAAATAATAGAATTCTATTTGTAAATAAGCATTTTAACATGGTTTATAAGTTTTTATAAATAATTTAAAAATTATTATCAGAAGTTAGACATTAACACCATTGGATGCCGGCTCAGTGGTCTAATGGTTAAGCGCTCGCGAGCAAGACTGAGAGATCCTGTGTTCAAATCTCGCGGGGGGCGGGATTGTGGGCGCGCACTGCTGGGGAGCCCCGTACTAGGACGAAACGGCCGTCCAGTGCTTCCAGGTTTTCCATGTTGGTTTAGTTTCAAATGACCCATGATTTCAAATATTGAAAATTAAAGATTCTTGGTAATTGGAAGTAGAAAGCTAACGATGGATAGTGGCTAGCAGTGGAATCTAAGACACGCGTTTCGTCTTATCAGGACTTAGTAGCTAAGTAGATAACGCGGTGGCGTTTGAAGCGAACGGTAGTGGGTTCGAGTCCCAGAGTAAACATCAACTCTGAGATGCAGGTACATCCAGCTGACGAGTCCCAAATAGGACGAAACGTGCGTCCTGGATTCCACTGCTAGCCACTATCTATCTTTGCTTATAATGCTTGTAAATTAAGGCAATATCGAGGCATACGCACAGTATGCACATATGCCAATAAAAGACTGATCAATTGCAGTCTTGAACCTCAATGGGAGGATTCAAGTAAAACAATACCAAGTGAATTATAAAACTAACTGTTTAAGTATTCAGTAATATGACTACAAAAAAATCGAATCACTACTACAAACTTTTAATCTTAAATCTTAATCCAAATGTAAACATCTAACCCAAACAAATTTAACTTGAAACCTTAGTCTGACCTAAACTTCGAAAGTCCTTATACTAATCGTGTTGAAATTTTTATGTAGAAAGTTATTCAGTCAGATTGTATGTGATCTGATTAGCTAAAAGGCGAGTTCATTTTCTTAGTCATTTAAGATGCTGAAGGACATCAGGAAATAAGCATACCTTCGACATAATAGTAATAATTAGTAATAATAAATAAATAAATAAATTTGATTAATTAATTAATTAATTAACATAACACAACAAACCAGGACTAAAAGCTTCAGTTTTCATAAGACATTGTATGTACAAAGGAAATACTTTCATATTTTGTGGTAATACTAATTCACTGGGATTCGAATTTACATCATTCGGACCGCAAGCACAATGACGACGATAAGCAGCCAAGGTGTTAGCAGCTCTTGTCGTTAAATCATCCATTACTTGTGAATGTGTACGGTTGAGTAGAGAACGCATTGAATATTTACTCAACCAATTCATATGTGCATCTAATTCGACAAGACGAAATACATCAGGTATCATACTTGTCACTGGAATTGACAGATTATGAATACGTAACCTTCGTTGTCCAGATATTGAAGTATAAAGACATGCAACCTATTTGAAATGTAGATATAAGAAACTTTAAATTTATTCAGAATCATTAAAGAAATTAATATGTTACTTTCGTCTGATTAATCCTATTACTACCTACAGTACAAAATCTGAGAAATTTTTGAGTATTTTTCATTTCCAAAAAATCAGACGTAGTAACAAAATTCGTGGTGTTGTGTTGTGCCCTATTCTGAGACTATGGATAAATAACCTTACTATTTGCAAGCTCAATTGACTGAGTAAAAAAGAAACTTTGTATATTATATATATATATATATATATATATATATATATATATATATATATATATATAATTGCTTCTTTCCCTGTTGATATGGTGTGGGAATTTGAATCGACGCGTCTATGTCTATGGCTTATGACTGACTATCTTAAATTATACACTACTAAGTCCGTCAAAGTATTCTCCCGAAATAAATTTTACGATAAAATTCCTAATATTAAGAACTTACTTGAATGAATACGAGTTCACCTTCTTGAAGTTTATCATCATGACGTAATTCTGCTGTGATTGCCATATCTGAACTAACACTAGCCAACTCAACATCAGTTGTATTAGGTAGGTAACAATTACCAAAGAATTCAACAGGTCTAATACCAGTACTTGTTCGAACACGCATAACAGCGTTGAAAGCTTGTAGGTTAGTCAAAGTACGTTGAAGATCGGCTATAAACTGATGACCTTGTAGGTCAGCCTGCAAGTATTAGTAATAAGAAATTTTCATCGTTTTAATCATCTACTTTATAAAACAATAATTATAATGGAAATGATAAAATCAAATTTCGGAGACTAGAAGATAATATATTTTGACAAAATTATGTGAGTTGGGATAGTGAACGGGTGCCCAAACTAAAGCAGGTTTTCTTAAGGAGCCGCTCCTCTAACCTTTGAGCCAAGAGTTTTAATCCACAAAACACTGGAGCAACGTCAAAAGATCCCACCCCATGGTATCCGGTAACTGAAATAAGCTCAAACACCCCTTGTCCCCTTAGGATCCTAAAGCTTGGTTTGGAATTAGATTTTCTACCCCCGTCAAACCGATTTAAACGCCAGATATTCGCTTTCAGTTTCCAAGCTTTCGTAAAAAAATGGCTGCTGTTTAAAGTCAGTAAATATAGCTTTCCTGACATAGTATAAACACACAGACGTACAAGAGTATTTTGAGAGGGAGGATGAACTCTCCCCACTCTGGGTTGCATTATGGAGCTTCGATTATGAATAGAATCAGTCTCTAACAACGTTGAGCAAGCAAACAATAAATGAATACTTTCAGACATTATCATATTTTAACCCATATGCTTAAATAAGGTATGATTCGACAAGCTAACATTCAAAATTATTAAAGTCATCTGAGGCACAACAGGATACACATTTTTGTGTAGAATTTCAGAACGATAATGATGAACTAAATAATCTCATTTTAGTTATTAAATACATAAAAGAAAGAAGTTTATAATGGTGAAGTGATGGAACAGATCAACAATCAAATCGTTTGAAGTATAATAGCAAAACAGTCAATCTGGAGACGATGTTATGAAGTCTAAGATATGATTAAAATTTGAAGAAGATCTCGGTTTACCGACGTTGCCATCGGAGAGGCCAATTTTCATAACCACAGAGCAGAAATTTTTTCATAGATATGTTGTAAACCTGACCCTTTACAGCCAGATTAACATTACCAAAGATGGCTTATATTGCCACAAGTTGCTAGGGTTTCCACAACACGTAGTCAGGATAATGATCATATATTCAAAAGGCTAAGTACGATAACTTTCTCCTCTTATCAGTGTCGTGTGGATTAACTGAATTCTGATTTATGAGGACAGGGTGTACACTGAACATAATAGTACAGACACCTAATACAACAATCAGACATAACTAAAAACAATAACTCGGTTAACAATCGACATCCGAACTTAGTGACAAGGCAGAGTATCGGTCTTTATGAGTGACTATACTAACTCGACAAAGACAACATTATAGAAACTACCAAGTAGATATCTAGTGAGTGACCCTAAAATACAAGAAAGAAAAAACGACGAAATGTATCAGGAATGTACAATGAACAGAATACACTAATAAGAAAGCGAGGAAGGAACTATATGACGTTGATAGATTACTAATAGCGCACGATAGAACGAGGTATAAAATTGTAACGATTCGAAGCTCATAATTTCAATAGTTGAAACTTATGTGTTCTAACCATTATTAGGTTACCTGTTAGTCAATTCGACGTCTTATTAGTTAATTTTCGATAATGGAATTGTAAACACACTAATATTAGTTAAGTAGAAAAGAGAACAAATTTTTTCAGGAAAATTTAACTACATATCACACTAAAATACTTTTACTTACCTGGAAACAGTTATATTTGAATAAATGACCAGAGGTTAATCTGGGCACTTCGGCTAAAGAAGCAATATCAACAAATGAATTAGGGAAAAGAAAAAGATCCACACTGCAACCAACTTCTACGCATGTTTGACCAAGTCCAACATAAAAATCATTATCTGGAAGAAGTAAAGTCTGTAAAAATAAACGAATAAATAAAGGCTGAATAAAAGTAATCTTGAACAGCTGTTAATATAGAAAAATTATTATTAATATTTGTTATTATTACTACTAACTTGTTACCGGGTATAACCACACTCTAAGTATGAGAAAGCTAGTGATAGTATATCCTAGTTGCTCAAACAGAAATAGATAGGGTGGAATTCAAACCTGCAGCTTGGTAACTGAAATTAAAACAAATTAATTATCGAACCACCCTCTTTGTAGGTAAATGGAGACAGTTAACTACATTGATTAAGGCTGCTTTAATGGTAGTCTAGCTTAAATTGACCCGTGAATTCAAATTTGAAAATAAATTTTTGCTTAGAAATCTAATCTGATTAATTTATCCACAAATCATAATTTCACCCTGGTTCATTTATACCAAGTCTCGAGCTCTTTGAGAAGAAAACTGCAGGCGGGGTGAAGTCCTAAGTCAAACCGGGGTACGCTGATTGGTCCACTTCCGACCAATCAGCGCTGGATAAAGACCAAGCTGCTAGACGGTACTTATGTAAAAATTCTATATTTAACAACTGCATTACTTACTCTGTTGTGCCACAATACGTGAGGATGTATTTTAGGACGTTACACGTACTAGTCATACGTACTTTAACAAGCTAGAACCTATTTTAAATTCATAATTTAGATTAGACGAAGATTTACACAAGTATACTAGTTGTAGTTTTACACTACCCCTAAAAGTATTAAGACATAAATGACATCCACTACTATGTTATACCTTTAACAGTAAAGGAACAAACGACAATAACAGTAATAATTGGCAAACTCATTACAGTATTCCATGAAGATTTCAAAAGTGAGAGACGTGAAAATGACACTTACCTTTTCTTTTTCAGTTCCTATAAGACGACGATCATCTCGATTTTTCAATTTACCCGGTGCTTCACCAATTGGTAGATTAGCATGTATGACAAATAATTTTCCAGAACGATTTGCAGCACGTAAAGCTTCCATTCCAGATTGGATAGCTGGGCCTAATACACTATCTGTGGGTTGTCTATTTAAAGCATTCTCTGTACAAAATTGAGTAGGTATCATTTCTAAAATACTAGAAATGATAACAGGATCAGGTGGTATCAAGAAACCTTCGACTGTAGGTACAAACACATCTTCAATATCCGCTACAATATACATTTGAGGTTTACCATAAGAGTTATAAGTGTTCTGATCTGTAGATTCAGATGTTTGTTGAGCGGATGACGACAACTCACGAGGTACGGTATAGAAGTGAAGTTGATGATCATATGTAATAAATCCCAATCGAATTGGATTAACCATATCTGGTGATGCAAATTTTTCCCTGTATTAAGAACATAAAATACTGTAATAGACTACCTAGTCACCCTTTTAAAAGAACCAACAAAAAGAATCGTGCAAACCCTTTAAAAAGTCAGAATGGTGTCTTCATCGTAAATAAAAAGAAATATGATTCACGAAAATCTGCAAAGCATGGTCAGAATGTTGTCTTCATCGTAAATAAAAAGAAATATGACTTACGAAAAACTGCAAAGCATGGTAGGTGGAACCATTTAAACTGAAAATTAATTTACTGAAGTTAACAATAAAAATACTTAACCTAGTTGCTGGCGATCAGTTACTCCCAGTTTTAAATCGGATTGACAACAATGTAGTGTGGATTATTGAGCTCAATAACTACACATAGTAGATGTGCGATATTTAGTTTAACATTTATCACCAGAACTGTGAAACCTACATTTTATGTATTCTAAAACAAATCGACAAAATAGATCTACAATAATTTTGAAATCTGTGTGATGTTCTCGCTTAAAAGTAAATCAATAATTAAGGTTACGTTCAGTAACTGAGCATTTCCTCAAAACTTTTATCTTATCAAATTGGTCGACTAGAACAAATTAATATAAGCTATAAATAGAAGTAACGAAACGAAAGTAACAAAACGAAAATTGATTGAAAAGAAATTTGTTCGCTCGATTTGTTCCTTCTTTATTTTCCAAATGTCAAAACAGTAATTTTCACTACATAAATAGAAGTATTTCCCTGATCACCCTAAACTTGACACAGGTTCCGATCAGATCAAATCCCTACTGACAACAATGAGAAATATTAATTCATCTAAATAATTAGGGAAAATAGTGTGAGGGTCAGGTTTTTCACTGGATTTTCAGTTTTTCAACAAGAGAACTTAATTTTTAAAAATGCTTCAAATGTGTTGATATTGATGAATAATATAAGGAAGAAATATGTCTTTATTTTAACACCACGATCTGTTATGGAAACCTGGACAACTGTATATCTTTCTCAGCCTCTACGTTGATGATGACTGACTGACTAACTGACCATCCTCAATTTTACTCCATTATGGAGGGTTTAAAGTATTTATGATGAACTAATTTTGAGTTAAAACGATGGATAGAAATCTGGTCCATAGACTGTATGACAATAAGATGTTATTGACTGATAAATGCTAACGATAGAGAATTATTGAGAGAAACCTTAAAGGCAAAAGATAATATTTGCTATTAGAATGAGAATTCTTTTTACTAAAACGACATTTGTATATACGACAGATTACGCATAAAAATGAATATGATTAGATGTCATTTGAAACGCAAGTGATTACAGGCTGCGGGTCTTGTAGATCATTAACAAACCCAATGAAACTGTAATTTTACTAAACAGGCTCAATTATTGCTTGTTATATTGTAATAGTAAGTGTAAAATAATCATTATCACTTACCTAGGTAAATTTGGTAGAATACGTTCTACAAATTGGGAACAGAATAGCTGTACTAAACCTGAACGTATAGCAGATTGAGAGACATCTAGTAGAAATATGATGGCTGGAGGTAAAGGTAATTGGTTGTTTTTGCAATATTCTGCTGTTGCTAATAATTCGTAACTGCCTAAACATAGTTCAGGTCTTTGACCTGCATCAACTCGACGTCCAGTATGATCTAAATGAGCAAAATATTCAGCGGCAACTTCAGTTAAACCATTACAAAGTGGACATTGGAACCTTCGACCACCGTCAATAAAATTCATGAAGGGATTCATATAAGCTTTACATCGAACACATCGAACTGGACCCTATAAAATAAGGACAAATATTTGAAAACTACTACACATCTGGACAAAATTACACGAATCTAAAGGAAAAACACATATCATCATCAAAATCTGTCTGTAGGACAAGTAAATAAACCAACCAAACAGAAACTTTCAACAACACAAGTCCTTCCTATTGTTACAGACTGCAAGAATATTTCTCAGAGGACTATCGATTATAAAACATTCAATTCTATTATCCATTACACAAAATGAAATATCTAGAGACTAATTCGAAAATGGTTAAGATTTTATCTGAACTATTAGACACTGTTACATATATCCTAGGTGTGGAGAATCAACTCTCCCTCTCGAAGTGCTCTCACATGGCCATGAGTATACAGCCACTACCAAGGAAGTCCTACTCACTACCTCCTCACAGCGAGGATGGTGTTTACAAAATTGAGAGAACGAAAAGCGAATGTCCTGCGCTTTAACCAGGTTAATCGACACAGAGGGTCCACCTTGACTGGTTGCAAAACCCTGATTTTAAACCAACGGTGCACATGGGCTCCGGGATCCTGAATGAACAAATGACATACGAACTTATTGTTGGTCACCGGATACTATGAGACTACATCTCCTGACGTTGCTCCACGGCCTTGTGGATCAGAAAGCTCTAGGTGTGGCCCTCTAAGAGAACCATCTACTCCAGTCTAGGCACTCGAGCAATATCACATCTCACACAAAGATCAAGTGACTTGTGTGGCGCATATGTATTCGGTGCCCTTTTATACTAATGTTTATGTGCTTAAATAAATAAATCGATATTGGTTAGATATATATAAGCCTGACTTGCATGATAGAAATAGCCTTTAGAAAACAGTGGGTGATACGTTCATTTAGGACCTGACTTTTAGTCGCTGAGTTGGAGGTCTAAACTTTATCTTAGGTCGTAACAGGAAAATTACTAAGTAATGAAACTGCAATTTGATTACGAACAAAATGATTTCGAGTGCTGTTAGACGTATGAGGGTGGTTATCACTACCCTGTTGTCCATACTGTAGAATGATACTTTTTAAGCTACCTGAAAAAAAAATTGGATAAGTAGTGCTCTTGAAGACCTAGGAGAGAGACTGGAGTGTCCAAGGGACAATTGTTTAAGGTCGGTGGCACATGAACTTTGTGCCGGTTCTTGATATGTCAGCTCCGTATTTTTAAGGCCTTACCGTCGTGACAGAAATCTGTGGAGCATTTTGAGCTGTCATTTGCAGGGGCTATATTTTCTAACTCTCTGTTGTGGGAAGGTAGCAATGTTGTAAATAATGGTTTGCTTACCTACCTCACTGACCCTCATACACAAAACGTATGGCTGAAGATCAAGTGAACTCATCTGTACTTGATGGATAATTTACATTAATTAGTTTTCGACAGTTAAACAAGTACTTGAGAGAAATAATATATGTGTAAATTCTTATATAAATCAGATTATCTTATCCTTTTTAACCATACTAAAGAACTGTAGGCCTACAAGGTTCTTAACAAACTCATACGTTTTTTCCATACGTAATTCTTGTAAAAAACGTAAAATTTTACATTTACCCTTATCTATCCTGTTGGTTTGCTGAAATACAAGTCTTAATTGGGTCACTAAGTCGTATATCATTTCATTACATTACTGAAAAGAATTCTCGAAGATTGCTTAAATCCGCGCACGTTTTGTATTATATCAACAACCGTTAGAACAACTTAATGAAAGTGAACTCCATAATATATGTCCAAACTTATTGCTCAAATGAAAAACAGGGATGTCTTAGTAATTTACTCCCAGCTGTGGATGTATAAGAGAACATATTCAAAGTTGGACTGAACTACAGATTGGTATTTTTCTCAAGGAATAGTCTGTTTCTTCACACATGATTTTGCAGAATAAATTTGTAATAACAAATAAACGAATGACAACAAAGTTGAATAAATCAGAAATGAGTCTCATGTATAATTACGTTTGATGTACTAGATATAATGGTCGAATAACGAACAATGCTAGCCATTATTATGTATCTACAGAAATAATTACTACACACAAACAGATAAAATGTATTTAAACTGATTAAATCGTACTAACAAAAATAGATTCCCATCAGTATTAAGTCTACCAAATTTATTTTAAAGGTATGATTTCATTTCAGCTCATTTTTTAGGTAGCTCCCATTTAAAGTATACTACAAACAACTAGCAAAGTTCGTAAGTCCTTATACACACATCAATAAAAATACCAGTTAATAACTTAAATATGTACACTTCTTGGTTGATAATGTACATCACTACGTTACAAATTCCAGTACCGTTTTGCTTCATAACAACTTACTTGTGGACCCATATCGCTTATCATAACATTCATATCTTCTGTATGTTGTACTGCAAATGGAGATATTGTAAGTGAAAAGGGGATCCCAACAGTTTTAAGGAGATCTGATGAATTCGGAACAGAATATAGTGAAGATCGAATGAAACAAGGTGCACATGTACCCTGATCACGTGATATAAAGTCAGTTGTGACTAGAGGAGGCACAACACCTCGTTGTCCTGTATAAAAAGGTCCAGTACACTGAGCCCGATTGCTCTCAATAACCTAAAAAAAGAATTGAATGTATAGGTAAATGATAAGTTAGGCCGAAATCAAAGACAGTGAACATTTATAACCAGGTGTAACAAAGCTTTATGAAATTTTATGAAAGGAATAACAGCATATAACAAAAAGTCGGAATTGCCGAAAGTGATATAAAAAAAGCCATTCAATTGTTAACTTACGATGCGACAAAATTATTTCTGGAGACTATTTTCAGTTACTTAAATAAATTTTTTAAACCATTCCTAATAATAACGTTTACCATAGAAATATTACATATCTACTTTGCTAAGTGCATACCAACAACACACACAACCACACAGATTCGTATGATACATTAACTTCAAAATCTTAGACTGTCCACAAGCAATGACGACTATATACATTGAGTGCTTTAATCAACCGTGTAGATTTTTATTTACAAGCTGGACTAACCCAGTTTACAGAAATTACCTTACTTAAGACGTATGACAAATAATCCGGGTTTTAAAAACGTGCAGTTTATTAAGCTGTTAGAAACACATATGTAAAAATAAAATACCCAAACTAAGCAAATATAGCCCAGAATGAAGTTTATAAGAGAAGAATAATCGACCTATACGCAAACACTAAAAGTTCACTATTAGATTTTGAAGTTAATTATAGGAAGTGCTAGACCTAGTATATTACACTCAGATTCACAGAACGTGAAGTAACGTCGAAATATTAATAGATTATGACAGACAGGTATAGATTTTATTTGCGCTGACAAAGATCAGTCTCGTATATTTATCCCAAAGTTGTTTTGCCATAAATCCGCTAGAATAAGTGAAATCCCTTTAATATATGAGACATTTAAACCACCACAAAAAGTTATGAGCTACTGTCTGAGTTATGTATGGTGTACACTTCCTACTTGAAGTCATTATCATGTAATGGTTGGTTATTTTTATTGAGTTTTGACATCGTATTATTCTTTTATTACCCCAATTATGTTGTTTATTTGAATTTTTACCAGAGACATTAGCTCTACTATTTTTATTTTGATGTCTTGCTTCGTTGAGAAAAGTGGCGACCCGATATGCACAAGTTGTTCAAATGATAACATTTATGTATTTACTTTACTTAACTAAGCTCTTTTACAAATCGAATTCACTAATGAAAAACCATATTTCGTGTAGACCCTTACACAAACCAAATCTAAAGCAATAAATGCAAGGGAGACATGGTTAACTATCTATACGAATATTCACCATTATTTGAACTTTAAGGTTATTTAAATTTCAATCTCTGTAACGATTTCAAGTATATATTTAGGAAATAATTGTAAGCTATTGACACACATATTAGTTCTGAATACCTTGAGGAAAAGGTACAGAAACAGGTCTAAATAGTGTTCCAACTATTGTGAGTTGAATGGGAGGGTGAAACAAGTTAGTTACGAAATGCCTGGTTTAGATGTAAGTAATAATTTGTGAAAATTCCAAAATCACATTCCTATGTAAATTTGTCCCGGTATCCCCCTACTAAGTGATATATATCACCACTATAAACGGGAAAGTGTCTAAATGTTGACAGTATATGAGGCATAATAAACCTGTTAGATCATGAGATTTACTAATAATTATAAAATAAAAACTATGTAATTTGAATACCTCGATAGGACTAGGTAATCTATCTGCGTTTATACTTTGAGAGAAATGTGGTTGTCTGGATACTGGGCCATTTTGATATGCCTGTTGAGGATGTAATGTATTTAACTGGGTGTTAGCACCATTTGGCAATGGAAACGGACCTGGAGGTTGAGGTTGTCGATAACTGGGTGGTGAAACCCCCTCATGTCCCATAGGCATTGGAGGAAGACGTGGCTGCTGAGGACCTTGAAGAAAATCCTGATGGTTTGGGACAGGAGGCATGGGTGGCAACGGTGGTTGATTCACACTCTGTATTGACTGAGCGGAATAATATGGAGGCTGAGATTGTGGTTGGAAGCTCTGTCCTTGATTTCCAGTATAGTAGTTAGGTGGTGTCTGAAAGCTGCTGTTAGGATGACCTTGCGGGTAAGTATCTGTCACATTTGAGTTAGAAGCACCATAAACGTGCTGACCAGAAACACCAGGGTAACCGTATTCTTTCTGCGGCTGGAACGACTGACGGTTGTACATACTCTGACCATTTTGATTGTGTAGCATTATCTGAAATTTACTGCATTAGGTAAAGGAGTCACTATAAAAGTGAACCAATAAACGAGAAAATCCTGTGACGTATCTCCTTGACGAACACAGCGGTAAATCCGTAGGACAAAATGTAGCGCGTTCAAACGACATAGACCATAGATATGAGGAAACCTATTATTTGCACTAGTGTCGACTGCAAAGCTTCAATTTACAAAAGCTTATAGCGGCTAACTTGCTTCGATTGTGTTTAAAATGGATATAGAATTTGTTTAGCAGTAGTTGGGAAGGACAGTGGGTGAAAATGATCATGTTGATTCTGAAAATAAGGGTTTCCCAATTCCAATAACCTTTTGAATTTATTGATAGATGGCTATCTCATTTACATTTAAGTTTATATTTTGTAAATCGATGTGTGAAGTCGTTAAATTTAGTTATTACAAATGAGTGTCATGTCACTCAATATGTACGTACAGGACTACAAAGTGTAGTGGTAAATAAATCCCCCAAACAGGTAGTTCCGTATGTCTTGTACATTGATGTTGAGCTCGTTAGTCTCGCTGGGCTCATCGGGCTGAAGGAGTTCAGTCAAACATCCTCACCAGATCATGAGTACACTACACTACTACATAAAAATAATAATACCAATTTTTGTTTTTGTGAGTTCACCAGCAGTTTTGCACTTTATCATTGACAAACTAAGACATTGATTGACCGTACTTTTATTCCTTTTGTTGTGCTATACCACATCCATGTCACTCTGTACACTAACACATTGTATAATACAAGCGTGCATGTCATATTCCGTAGTTTAGATGCATCTAAAAGAATTTTTTGTAACACGTTACTACGTACCGATTTTTATGTTTCTTTCGTTGTTATTGGATTTGACTATTCGAGTATGCGTTTCTTCAATTCAATGAAGATCAGTAAGTGAGATTTAATTAACACGTCTTTATTAAACTAAAGGATTGATTTTGCTTCTGCTACTGAAATTGTCATGTTCTTACACAAGTCACTGTGTCGTTTGTTGTAACAGCGACTCGATAGATAAAAGCAGTACAATACAATAAATCATCAGTGAGAAACAATGATTTTTTCACCTGGAAGACAAAGTTTTTATTTGCTAGTGATTGGTTTCGACGGTTTCATCAGACGAAACCAGCCAAGAACACAATTAGCAAATTCGGGAGTCGCCAAAATGTAGTGTAAGATAAAGGTAAAACGATTGTATAAAACTGTAGCGGTAAATAATTCCCCAAAATCAAATAGCTCTGTAAGTCTTCGACATTGGATGCTGACCACAGTTTTAGTGGACTCATCTAGCTGAAGGCGCTCGGTCAAGCATCCGTACCAGATCACATGTGAGAACGCCGTGCTCAACATCTGCCGCTATCGCTAGCCAGATTAGTGCAAACGATCCTCGATATATTGATAACTTATCAAATATATCTTCGATCTCCTCACTTCTGTCTTTTGATTTTACTTGGTGGGTGCGCTTTGTATTAGAAGGTGTTACTGGTTAAAGTGTTGTCAAACTCCGAATACCTGTGGCATCTTCATTGGTGAGCCCGACGTGATCTGTTACACCATATTATAAACTGTGAGTCTGTTCCTTTTTGTGATTTTGTATATCATTGTCTTATTTTAATCTTTTTTTAACATTGTCATATTTTTTCCCGTGTTTATGGGTTTATATATAAATTTCCCACTCGTTCACTTTTCGTACTTGATATATTACTATGACTGAACAGACACTTAAAGTATTTAAGTTAAAGATTGTGTCCCCACCTTCTTTCCAATTTATGCCTTTCTGGCCAGAAAACATCGAAGCCTGGTTTTGTTACGCAGAAGCCGACTTCTTCGAGCACGGTGTGAACGATACACGTACACAATTCCTCGCAGTAGTCAAGGCACTACCGCGCGAATTTAACAGGTACGTACCACCTAGTATGTTTACTAGTGATGTTTCTGATCCATACCAAACCCTGAAACATGCCATCCTTAAACGCGGAGATCTAACCGACCGACAAAGGTTAGACCAACTCCTCAACAACATCGACCTGCAACACGGTTCTGCCACAGACATGTTGCAAAGAATGCGAGAAGTCATTGGCCAAAGAACCTTCGATGACGGCCTATTCAAACAACTTTTTTATCCAAACTTCCTCAACAGGTGCAGGCTGTTTTGGTCTCGTTCCAAAACAACGCCGTAGACGAGCTAGCTGCATCTGCCGACCGCATTCTCGAAATCACTAGATCTTCTAACTCCGAAGTTTTTTCAGTCAAAGAAAAGCCTCAAACGACCCAGAATGACATAACACAGTTATGTCATACACTTACGCGTTATCTGAAACTCTGTAACGACCGTAAACGATCACTTACCCCGCTGAGAAGCACATCACATAAGCGATCTGTATCTAGAACTCGAGAGACGGATAATCCTGATTAGTGCTGGTACCATAACCAGTACGGAAAGTCCGCCAGAAATTGCAGAATACCCTGCAATTTTCCCAACGCGAAATCGGTTGACGCAAAGAACGTTTCGGGAAACTTCCAAGCCGTCACTGGTTAACGGCAACCGTAGCCGGCGAACATAGTCGTCTTTTATATGTCACTGATGTGATAACGAGAGTTCGCTACCTCATCGATGCTGGAGCAGAAGTTACCGTTCTCCCAGCGAATTCCAACGACCGGCTTCACGAATCGGTTTTAAATCTACATGCGGCAAACGGAAATGCTATCGCTACGTATGGCAAAAGGTATGTTTATCTTAACGTGGGTTTACGCAAACCCATTCACTGGATTTTTGTTGTTGCAGATGTTTCTATGCCAATCATTGGTATGGAACTTCTACAACACCAAAACTTAATTATCGATACGCGCAAACGGAGGTTAGTAGACGGAAACACTAATTTATCTGTTTGCCTGACTTCTTTTTCTGGTTGCAGGTTATCTCTTGTCACTAGTAAACACACTATGGACCCCTTCTACCAAACACCACTCGATATACATTCTGGTATTTACCAATCGCAATCGAAATTGCCGTATGTAACCAGCAATGTTACACATCACATCACGACTACAGGACCACCTGTCTTCTCGAAAGCACGCCGACTGGCCCCCGAAAAGTTAAGGTTGGCGAAAAACGAATTCGACCATATGATAGACTTACGAATCATACGACCATCAGACAGCCCATGGGCATCTCCGTTGCACATGGTCCCTAAAAAGGACAGCAACGATTGGCGTCCAACTGGTGGCTATCGGAGATTGAATGCCAAAACCATTCCCGATCGTTACCCGTCGCCCCACATTCATGATTTGACAGCTACCTTGGAAGGTGCAACTGTCTTTTCAAAAATCAACTTGGTAAAGTCTTATAACCAAATTCCTATGGCCACTGAAGACATTCCAAAAACCGCTATTATAACGCCCTTCGAACTCTATGAATTTTCGCGAATGCCTTTCGGTCTGAAAAACGCGGCACAGACTTTCCAAAGGTTCATAGATGACGTTTTTCGAGGTCTCAACTTCGTACATGAATACGTTGATGACTGCCTAAAAGCAAGTCCGGAGAGAGAATCACATCTGCAGCATCTGGACCTTGTTTTCGACCGACTACAAAAACATGGCATTACCGTATACATTCAGAAATGCCAAATCGGAACCGAATCCTTAGACTTCTTAGGACACACTATAGATACGCAAGGCATTCGACCCCTTAGAACAAATTGGCGGCCATTCTGGATTACCCATAACCGACCACCATCAAGCATTTGCGCACGTCATAGCTGCAGTCGAACTGTTTCTTTACTCTTTTTGTTCGTGTTACCTGCATTGACTGAGATTGCAAAGTTTCTGATTGTGAATTGAAGCAATCTCCCAGAATTGGACACCTCCGTGTTATAACGAAATTAAATATTATCTTTCCAACAACCTGTATATGATCTATCCAGAAAGAATAGGATAATATTTGTTTGTTGCATTTGATTTTTCTATTGATTAGGCAATTGTTGGTTGAATAACTAGGTAGTAATACTTGTTTAGGTAATGCTGTACATTTATATTTACAAGGAAATCTAGAACAGTCATTTACTCAATTACCTTGTTTTGGTCTCAACTGAGCTATAGAGAGTACCTAAACTAACCTAGACATTTATTCATCATTGAAAACTAATTTTGTTGGGAGGCTACAAGTAATGTAATGTTTTTCCTCTATATACATCAAAGTAGCCACTTTACCCGTATACCGAGAAACAGTAATCCATACTGGGTACTAATCTTGAGGTGTGACTTAACATTAATTTCGCTAAATTCTAGTTGAATGCGGACATCCAAATAGATCCTCTTCATTGGTAATCTACACACCCAATTTCCCACAGTTCTCACCCGATTAGATCAATGAAAATTTTCACACTCAAGAGGACGTCCACTCAAAGTGAAATGAGAAAGAACTCGAAAAAAATGATATTGTGTTCGGAATCAGTATGTTATGGAAATTTCGATAGAAAGCTATTGTAATGCAACTTTCGTGTCATTGAGTACCCCTCGTCTTATTGATAGGAAAAACTAGACTAGCCGTGAACCGGTCGTTATTTGGATCATAGGAAAGAACACAGTGGAGCGCGAAATTTTTCGGCAGTTAACATGAATTAATAGATTTAATGCCTATGCGAAACGCGAAAGTGGACAAATACTTGAGCTATAATGTTTTGACATTACTAAGATGTTTGTGGCCAACTCCTAATCAATCAAGCTGAGTTGTCACAGGAACATCTTTAATACAAATCTATTTATCTTGACCTTCAGTTTTTAAAGGAAACACGACATGAACAATACCTTCCAATAACTAATGTTTCTCTCGAACTACCAGGGCTCAGATCCCAAAAAACACGGTTCTCCTATTCTACCAATGTTGTAGTACTACTTTACAAAGACTCATTGCTATTAATAATCATCATGTACCCGAAATCTACATAGGCACACTAAAGATCGCCTGTCATTGGACGTGAGGGATTGTTACACGAACGCTTCACTCAATCCCCAAACATCTTAAAGTACTGGATAATGGATACTAAATAGGCGCGGTACTCTCAACTTGTGCGCCACTTGGTGTAATT